CAATATATGGGAAACTGAGCAGGGAAGTATTTCTGAAACTGATACTAGATCAGATGTTTTCTAGGACAAAAAATTAAAGGGTTTTATGATAATACATTGAATAGTTTTTACATTGCCTTTTTATCTCCAAATTCCAAAAGAATGTTAACCAGTTGAATAGCTGACTTACATGAGTAAAATACCACTCCTTTGCTGTCAGATGCTCCTGCACAGACTCACAGCTAATTCACAGTAGGAACAAAACAAAACCTTGCAGAACTCTTGTAGTGTTCCTACCTGTCACCACTAAATCAAACGTATCCTTGGGAAGAGTAATCACATATTTATTTACTGAGAAGTGTCTTTCATTATAGGTTTGTAACTTGCATTACTAGTCCAGTTAGATTGGATGGACACAGAAAGAAACAATTTGCTTTTAGAGCAATATTTACATGATATCTTCAGAAACAAATCAAACTTAAACTCGGCTATTGTGTATATTGCAAAATTTGTCTGGTGGCCTCTAGCCTAGAAAGTCTAAGTAAATAATTTATAAATAGTGATTAATCTTTAACCTAATCAGACTTGAATAATGTTTCTAAAATTTGTGTCTTTTTTCCACAACAGTATAAGAATATCAGTTTGGATTAACAAACCACCTTTTTACTTGTGAAAAACTGAAACACCTGGAAAAAAAAGAAAAGAGACTAATTATAAAAGTGTGCAAATCCCCCAACTTTTGCTTATAAGGAAAACATAAATAGTTGAAAAATTGGATTGGTAAAGCTTTACGGATCTGAATAAGCACATTTAGGTAGTTCTTATTCTTCCTTGGCCTCCATGTCTTCATTTATAAAATAAATGAGAAGCTGGATGAGCTCAGAGATTTTCACACATTTTTAGCAGAGGTTTAAAATGTTATGGGAACACACACACACACATGATTTTAGTGGGGTACAGATTTAATAAGGTCAATGTTTAACACTTGCTTATAAAGCAAATATGTGAGAACAATTATGCTACTTTGAAGAAAGCAAAAATCTGAAATTGTGGGTAAAGGATGACAGTTAAAGACTCAGAATGTAACTTATATCTGCCTTTTTTTTTTTTTTAACTGCACAGCATGGAGATAATTCTGACACATAAATAGCTGTAAGTGGTAAAGTAGCAAAAGAGATTTTTTTGGTTTCGCTTTGATTTTTGGTTTTTAAATTTGTCTTGCACTCTGAGGATGTTCTTTATTTTGAAGTTTGTACAAAAACTTGACAGCCCAGTTCATTCACTGATTGTCTCCAATTTGTTAAAGTTTGGCACTTAGCGTACCTGAGTGTATATGTGTGTGGCTTTCCTTGAGTACTAGTGTCAGGCATAATTCTGTGCACTTTACAAGCCTTGTTTTATACAGGGATTAGAGGGAATTTGCCAGCATATCCACATTTAATTTTGATACGGAAAGAGAGAGGTAGGGAGAGAGAGAATAATTAAAGAGCTAACTATTCTGCCCTCTATACGTGGGTGTATGTTTTTTAATTACTATTTTATAATAATTTAAAATATAATTTTAAATGTTGACTATTTTGATTTTTGTTTTTACTGTGAAAGGAGAAACAAAAATCTCATCAATTATTTAGTCTGATATAGCAGAACTATCAATGCAAGTTCTTATGTGACAAAGCACAATGGAATTAAACATATCTGTTAATACACAGGTTGTTTTAGACATTTAATTGGAAAATTAGAGTTTGAAGAAAAAAAATTTTTTCTCTGAATCTACGATGTAGTTCTTGACTCTGCTTTCATTTTCAGCATTAAAAATTGTTGCCCAGTAAGTGTGCAGAAAAACAGTTTAATTTTCCAACAAGGAAAGTATGTTTCTTTTTGTCAGCATAAATTTCCCAGGCAGTTTTGGTGGTCATGCTCCAAAGCCTTCAGTGTTCTGTGTTTTGTGTTAAGCTGCACTATAAAATTGTAGCCGTTGAACTCAACAAATACAACTAGATACCTCTTTTAAATAGCACTAATTAATTATAAATGTGGGAAGCAATAGATTTTAGTTTGGTGTTTTGCACTCAAGATATAAGTGATTCTCAAAAGAATCAGGGAATCGGATCTTTAAAATATCTTAATCCAGAGCTTTCTCATTTAATTTAATTTAATTAATTTATTTATTTTAAAGATTTTACTTATTTATTTGTCAGAGAGAAAGAGAGCACAAGCAGGGGGAGCGGCAGGCAGGGGAGAAGCAGGCTCCCCTCTGAGCAGGACCCTAGGATCATGACCTGAGCTGAAGGCAGCCGCTTAACCGACTGAGCCACCCAGGCATCCCAGCTTTCTCATTTAAAATTTTATTTTAAGATGAAAAGAAAAACTGGGACGCCTGGTTGGCTTAGTTGATGGAGCATGTGACTCTTGATCTCAGAGTTATGAGTTCGAGCCCCATGTTGGGTATAGAGATTACCTAAAAATAAAATCTTTAAAAAAGAAAAGAGAAAGGGCGCCTGGGTGGCTCTGTTGGTTAAGCGACTGCCTTCGGCTCAGGTCATGATCCCGGAGTCCTGGGATCGAGTCCCGCATCAGGCTCCCTGCTCAGCGAGGAGCCTGCTTCTCCCTCTGACCCTCCCCCCTCTCGTGTACTCTCTCTCTCTCTCATTCTCGCTCTCTCAAGTAAATAAATCTTTAAAAAATAAATAAATAAATAAAATTAAATAAAATTAAAAAAAATAAAAAAAGAAAAGAGAAGAAAATGAAAAGAAAAATTGCTATGTTTTTCTTGGATAAAATACCTTGACTTTCCTTGTCAGCATCCAAAGCCATGCATGTTTAGTGTTAAAAAATTAAATGTTGGATAAGATTTAAAAATGAAACTAGAGGGGCTCCTGGGTGGCTCAATCAGTTAAAGGTCTGCCTTTGGCTCAGGTCATGATCCCAGGGTTCTGGGCAGCAGGATGCCCTGCTCACTGGGGAGCCTGCTTCTCCCTCTCCCTCTGCCCCTCCCCTTGCTCCTTCTCTCCTTCTCTCTCTCTCTGTCTGTCTCAAATGAATAAAGAATCTTTTAAAAAAAGAAACTAGATTTATACATTTGTGCAATCCTAAACTTCCTTAGAACAGTTTGAAAGCTACTGGCCTGGCTGATGTTTTTTCTTTCTGAGTAATTTTCTTTCAGCTTAATAATCTTACCTTTTAGGAAATGACAGCAACGTTACGCTATAGGGATAGACCAAGGTTTAAATGTCTTTGGGTCATCTCTTGGGATCTAAGAAAGAAAGCAAATAAAATACTTAATGTCATAATGCCATTGCAATATCTCATCAGAAAAACTATCTCGAATCTGTAGGTTTTGAAAAACTTTCTTTTTTTTTTAAGATTTTATTTATTTATTTGACAGACACAGCGAGCGAGGGAACACAAGCAGGGGGAGTGAGAGAGGGAGAAGCAGGCTTCCCACAGAGCAGGGAGCCCGATGTGGGGCTCGATCCCAGGACCCTGGGATCATAACCTGAGCCGAAGGCAGACGCTTAACTACTGAGCCATCCAGGCAACCCTTGAAAAATTTTCTGACAGGAGGAGTCAGGATTTTCCTGAGGAATGGGATGGTTCCATTCCTCTCATGACAACTCTGAAGTGACAGTGATTCCGTGTTGTGATCTCTGCTATACTTAAATGTTGCTTAAGAGGGCACTTTGATTACTTACCTATCTTCTTTGCTTCCCAGATGTGAATTCCAAAGAGAATGATACATATTATTTGGGAGAGAGATTGCACACAAATGGGGGTAGGTGGGGGGAGGGGCAGCAGGCAGAGGGAGAAGCAGGCTCCCCGCAGAGCAGGGAGCCCGAAGTGGGGCTGGAGCCCGAAGTGGGGCTCGATCCCAGAACCCTGGGATCATGATCTGAGCCAAAGGCAGATGCTTAACGACGGAGTCACCCAGGCGCCCCTGAGAATGATATATTTTAGGAAGATGTTTGGGGGAGGATAGTGGGAAGGGGAGAGTGGTTAGGCTGAGAGTTGTTTGCATTGGAGCCTACAGACTTGGTCTCCTCTGCAGTGATCTGAGAACAGCCCCATCTACACCTTTAGCCAAATGATTTGTGTGGAATAGTGCCCTTGCTAATTAACCCCCAGGCTCATTCTACTATCCTAGGCTCCAAGCCCCAAGAATTTGACTTGTTTATCCTTCTTCCTTGTGCTCCTCAATTCCTGAGTCCTCTGTTGGGAACTCCCCCCCCCTCCCTGCCCCTTAGGTCTGGCACAAAGCAGGTATTCCTCACCTCTGCTGTTGTCCTGTTTTTGTTTGGAGAGTTGACTTTTAGTTACAAAACTGTTAAAAACAAAAACAAACTTCCCATAAGTAATGGAAAGTTATGAAGATTCCAAAAAGCATTTCTCCTAATATTTCTTTCCTAGAAATACAAAAAGAAGACAACAAAAACAAACAAAAAAACCCTCAGATTCTAACCTGTTATCTTTACAAATTCTGTTCTGTTTGCTCTTAGTCTGTATTGAAATGTAAATGGGGGCTAGGTTTGCCCTTCTCAAAGGGCCTTTCCATATTCTCTACTTAACTGGGGCTTGGGGAGTTGCTTGGCTATCTCATTTAGAATCATCCTGTTGCACCTGGGCTGGGCTAGACTCAGACAAAGCGCCTAGTCTAGTCTAAGGTGGTTTTAGGTCAGCTCCTCTGCTAAACGGAATGGAATTTTTAGTCTTTTCCAAAACCTGCTTCTAATTCTTTTCACCAGACCTAGGCCCCCAGGTGCCCCTCTGCTTTGGAACACAGGTCAATAGTCATTCCTGGCCTTCTTGAGTCTCACCAACTCCTTAGCTCTTGGAGTGAGGACCTAACACTTGTTTTGTTTTTTTTTGTTTTTTTTTTGGTCTCAAAGGCCCCACCTCTGGGACTTAAGCTGCTCTTCATTGGCTTTGGGTAATCTTCCCTTTATCTTCTTTGCTTGGTGCCATCATCCCCTTCCTTCTCCATTCTATTTCTCCCTGTTGGTTCTCAACAAGTAAGGCAATATTCACTATGACTGTCCAGACCAATTCTGCTTTTCATTAACTCTCAGCTTCTGAGATATATCTGGCCCAATTAACAGCTTCTGAGATATATCTGGCCCAATCTCATTGGTCTCAAGGTCTAGTGACAATGGGTAGTTGCCATCTTTATCATCATCACTGTGCAGTAAAGGAGTAAGTCAGCAGGCCTGGGTTGTCCAAACTCTGCACATTCCAAAAAAAGTTTTAGCCCCAGACCAGCTCCTGAGAGGTAACACCAAAGCCCTTGAAATCCCACCTGATAAGATGTCTTTGTTTACCTGGCGCCTTGAGCCATGTGGTATCATTTAACCTCTGGAAGTTCTGGACACTCAGTAACTAAGGTCAGATGCAGGCAACTTATGCCTACTTGACTGATCTCTAATAAAAACTCTGGATACCAAGGCTCAGGTAAGCTTCTCTGGTTGGCAATACCTTGTATATCTTCTCATACACCATTGCTGGGAGAATTAGGTGTTGTCTATGTGACTCCACTGGGAGAGGACAACTGGACGCTGGTGCCTGGTCTGTCCTGGACCCTGCCCTATGTTCCTTTTTCCTTTGCTGATGTTAACCTGTATCTTTTCACTGTAATAAACCATAACCGTGAGTACACCAGCTTTTCTGAGTTCTGTGAGTCCGTCTAGCAAATCATTAAATCTGAAGGTGGTCTCGTGGACTTTTGACTCAATCATCTTCATTATCATCACCATCCTCATCCTCATCCTCAGTGTGTATTGACCACTTACTATGTGTGACAACTGCGAAAATGCTATTCATGCGTTATCGTAATCCTTACAACAATGCTGTAAAGTAATTAGAATTATTCTCTCCACAGACCTCTCCCCTCATTTTATAGATAAGGAAACTGAATGATCAGAGAAGTTATATAAATCACCAAATGTAAGGCTAGGATTCTAACCTACATCCTTCTGACTCCAGCGTCTGTGTCTTAACCACTAAGTACATTGGAACTCCTGTCCATTGCTAGTTAAACGGCTGCCTCCTTCCTGTGTCACATTCTGCATTGCTTGTTTCTCTCTTCATCCGAGGAATGCCTCCAGCTTTGCCCTGTTCCTTTTTAGGTGCTCTCCCTACCTCTCTTCTTCCTCTGCTGCTCTCAGCTAGAGGAGTTACCTTCCAGAGACCAGGTAGGAGAGCTTTTAGATACAAAAATATACATTCAGTAACAGTGTCAGATAATCCCCCTTCAGTGGTAAGAAAGGCCACTGTGTCAAGTGTCACCAAGCATGGCAGGGAACAGATTTGGCCCCCGCACCCTGGGACAAGCATGTTCAACACGGAACCAGTTTCCCAGCCTGTTCGAGTGCCAGTAAAACGTCTTCCCAGATAGCGTGAGAGGCTGGGAGAAGAACGTGATGAAGAACTAGAGGGCATGTGCCTGTCTGAGCATGTGTGCATGTGCATGTGAGTAATGTTTGTGTGTGTGTGTGTGTGTGTGTGTGTGTGCAGAAGGGTAGACAGCATTCTGAGGAAGGCACCACGGGAGCCTCCACTGCAGTCATCTCCTCAGCGTGCATTTGTGTCTGCGCTCCAGCTCGCAGAACCCATGGGGCTGAGGTGTGTCTGTGCTAGTTTTAAGGCCTTGCCAAGTATCTGTGGCTTAGCTTTCAGCAGGACAGGATGCAGAATGCCTGTTTCTACATGTGATGGGGGTAGGTTCCAACACTACAAAAAAAGAGAAGGCCTGGCAGTACATCTCCCTCTGCTCAGAGAAATGCAAGGTGGCGCACAGGCTATGTGGTTGAGGACTAGTGTTTGGGGGCAAACCAGCTGACGGCAGTGTAGGCAAACCGGGCTGCTCACAGCGCAGGAAGTGTTCATATGTCTCTCTTTCATCTGGCAGGAAGGGCTCCCTTTACTGAACTAAACAGGTGGCACTTTTAATGCTGCCAACTCTCACTGAGCCTGGGCATCTAGAAATACAAAAGAAGCAGGGAGGGAAAGTGAAGCATGGGAGCGGCAAGGTGCTAGTGATGCAGAGGGAAGGAAGCAGGTGGAAGGAGGCTGCATTAGGGTTTGCAGAGTGGGGAGGGTAAAGGCCTTCAGAAACCAGACACCAACCAACTGTACAGAAGAACAGGGCAGGGCAGGCATGGCCATCAGAACTGGGTACCGGTCTAGAATGGAAGGACTGGTTCCCATGAAGTTACTCTAAAGTCAGGCCTCCGCCTAACACATGACATACCCACTCATTGTGGTTGCAAGCATTCCTTATGAGTCAGCATGATAAAGCTGCCCCTTTAAAATGTGGGGTGAACTGAAACCTGTTTACATACTTGTTTCTAAGCTGAGTGTCTGATTTTAGCTTCCAGGAGACGGAAACTGAATCTGCTCCTTGACTTTACATGGCTTCCCATGGTGGCAGCCCCTACGCACCACGGTGTTGTAGTTACTTTAATAAATACTTTTTGCTGCTAGTGATAACAAGGTTTTTGTATTTGTCCTACTGCCAAATTCCTTAAGGCAGGATTTTTCTAATTTTTAAGGCTGTGGAGCTCTTCTTGTCTCTGAATCCTAAAGATTTTTTTTTTTTTTGGATGAAATCACTGTTTCTAAGGAAAAGTTCTAACTTGAAAGTATTAATTAGGTATTTTCTGTATATCTTTAAGAGAAATTTCCTTTTTTTTCCCTTGTGGAATTTTAAGTGACTATACAAAACACATTTTCCGAGAAATACATTTTTCTTTCTCCCATTACCAAAAAGGCAAATACATCATCTGGCTGGGTCTGGCTGAGCCAGAAACATCATCTGGCTGGGTCTGGCTGAGCCAGGCTGCTCTGTTGGGCTCTGAGCAGGACCTACCACCAGCAACACTGTTCTGACCAGGAGTTAACCACCTAGGAAAGGGCCCATGGATAAAAACAATAATCAACAACTTTGATCAAGGTAACCAAAGCCACAGATGTAAACAATCTTTGATATAGTAAATGATTGTTCAAATAGAAGAATTTTTTTTTTTTTTTGGCCTGCTTTTTGTTGAAGCTTAAAGCTAATTATCTGTGAAAATGAGGCTGCTAGTCTTAAGGGTTGTTTTTTTCGGCCCTTAGCAGGTCAGCTTGATTTAATGTGGAAATTCTTTTTAAGCCCTTTGGGAGAGGCATATTTTGAAGAAAGTCATTAATAGTTATGGGTATTTGGTGGAAACTTCACTTTAATATTTACAGAGTGACTTGTATTTACACAATATTCTTACATGCGTTATTTTATTTAATTCCAAAGGACAAGTAATGAGGGTTTGACCATCATTTCTGTTTAAGAAATAGATATAGGCAGGCTGTTATTTACCTTATGGTTAAAAGGAGGTTATTTCAAGAGGAGGTTTTAGACTTTCCAATGCTCATGTTCTGGCACACAAACCTTCTGAACCTCTTGCCTTCTTATGTGTCATAACAAATTGTGTTTTGACAACAGAATTCAAAGGCCAAATATACTAGGAGTGTTAATATCTGTTTCTCAAAAAAGTTTGTTTTGGTTTTTGTTTTTTGCATAGTACTGTTTTATATGCCAGAGTGAATCATTATATACAGTTGACCCTTGAACAATGTGGGGGCTGGGGTGCTGACCCCCCGTGAAGGTGAAAATCCACTTATAATTTTGACTCCCCCAAAACTTAAGTACTAATAGCCTACTGTTGACTGAAATGAACTCTGTTACTGATAACAGTTGATTAACACATATGTATTATATACTGTATTCTTATTATAAAGTAAGAGATGAGAAGAGGTTATAAAGAAAATCTTAAAGAAGAGAAAATACATTTACAGTGCTGTACTATATTAATCTGGGTGTAAGTGGACCTGCACAGTTCAAACCTGTGTTGTTCAAGGGTAGACTGTATTTCGGTTAAAATACCATGTTGTAGTTTGATTAAATGTAAATCTGATATAGGCTCAGATTTGTTCTAAGATACTTGAAAGAGACCGGTCTGTGTGAGGAGCCAGGCTATGAGAACTTTAGGAGGCCTGCCGTGTGAACAAATCGTAATTTCTTTTTTTTTTTTTTTTAAAGATTTTATTTATTTATTTGACAGAGAGAGACACAGCGAAAGAGGGAATACAAGCACGGGGAATGGGAGAGGGAGAAGCAGGCTTCCCGCGGAGCAGGGAGCCCGATGCGGGGCTCGATCCCAGGACGCTGGGATCATGACCTGAGCCGAAGGCAGACGCTTAACGACTGAGCCACCCAGGCGCCCCACAAATCGTAATTTCTAAAGAACTGAAGATATAGACCTGGATTGTGATAGAGGCTAGTTGCAACGGAAGCTGGAATAAGGATTATTCAGGTTTCACCCTCCTGATGTGGAGATAAGTAAGTCACAAATTTTATTTTTATTTATAAATTAATTAATTATTTGAGAGAGGGAGAGAAAGCAAGTGCGGGAGGGGCAGAGGGAGAGGGAGAGGGAGAATCTTAAGCAGGCTCCACACTCAGCACAGAGCTTGGTGCGGGGCTTGATCTCACCACCCTGAAATTGTGAGCTGAGCTGAAATCAAGAGTCGGATGCTTAATCGACTGAGCCATCCAGGCACCCCACACATTTTTATTTCTGATATCTTTATGCCAGGAAGAACAACAACTGCAGCCTTTTAGTTACAAGTTTTTTCTACCAATATCAGAGACTAACAAGGTAAGGCCATTTTTGAGGGCTACTTGGTCCCATGCTACTTTGAATCCAATGAAACTGCCATAGGGCCTTTGCATTAACTATTCTCTAACCATACCATTACCAGCTTTATGCTTGCTCCCTCACTTCATTCAGGCCTCAGCTCAAATGTCAATGCCCTAGAGAAAATTTCTCTAATAAACCATAAAAAATTATCTAAAATAATCTCTCCATCACATTCTAGCCCCCGATTTTTCTATTTTGCTTCATAGTATTTATCACCACCTGAAATTATATTGTGTGTTTGTTTACTTATTTACTGTCTGGTTTCCCCAGTAGAATGTAAGCTCCATGTGGGCAGGGATTGACTGGCTCAGTGTTTCTTTAGTTCCCCAGCAGTGTCCGGTGCATAGAAAAATGAATGAATGATTGCATGATGAATGATCAAAGCTGGGGCCAAATCTATGATCTCTTTGACTTTAAGAAAAGGTTAAGGCTAAGTTAGAAAAGTTTTGTTCTATTGATTCACAGGCATAACCCAGAGTCAGCTAAGCACTTACAATTCACGGTAATTATTTGTCTTTCTCCCCTGCTACACCATAAACAACTTGAGAGCAGGTACCTGTGAGTCTGGTTCACCAGTATCCTCTCAGTACTTCAAAATATGCAAAAAGGAAAGTATTGAATTGATTTCTTGAATTTGATTAAAAATATGAAAGGTGAGTGGGATTAGCCTGGGAAAAGGATAAAGATGGTTACTAGCAGAAGGCAGAGCTTGTTGGAGGCCTCTGTCCTTGACAAGAGGAACAGACAGAAGGTGGCAAGCATGGAGAGAGAAGGCAGGGTAGGGTACCATGCATAGCTGGAGAAGTGGGTGAGGCTGGCCATGCTGGACTTGCAGATTTATAGGTTTGGCAGGGCAAGTTAAAAAGTTATATTTTTATCTGAAGAGCAATGGGAACCTTCTCACCTCTGTACATGCTAGAATGCCATGATCATATTTGTCACACCACAACTTTCTAGCTGCACTAGGTATAGGAAGGCCAGCGAAGAGGCTGCTTTGACCCAGGCTAGAGAGATGGAAGGTGGACTTCGGGTTTCTAGAAAGTAAGCTCCACAAATGGAGAGGCTGCTCTCTGTTTCCTTCACTCTGACTTCCCAGCCCCCAGAACGATGTCTGGCCCTGCTTTGTGGTACAATACGGATGGAGGAGTATTGCCCTGTCCTGTGACAGGAAGTAGCAGGATCTATATTTCGTGTGTTTCTGGTCCTCTTTGTTAAACCAAGAGTCAGGACTTCCTCCTCTCTGCTTCCCTTGGGAGGCCCCACTGAAGGCTGGCTTCTGGTTATCCTTTGCTGTGGGTGTCTGGAGGTCAGAACAGAGAAACTCTTGAATCCCGGAAGTATTGTCAAGAATTTGAAGAAGCCCATACTCTCATCATGAAGTCACTCCCAATTATACTGTTCAAATCTTTTTAAACATTTATATCAGGGATATCTCAATTTTGGAAAATGAGTATGTAAATAAATTGTACATATAAATAATTATGACTTAAGAGATGATCACAAGTGTGTGTGAATATATATAAATACCAAATTTTTTAAAAAAGATTTTATTTATTTATTGGTCAGAGAGAGAGAGAGAGAGCATAAGCAGGGGGAACGGGCAGACAGAGGGAGAAGCAGGCTCCCTGCTGAGCAGGGAGCCCGATGCGGGACTGGATCCCAGGATCCTGGGATCATGACCTGAGCAGAAGGTAGACATTTAACCAACTGAGCCACCCAGGTGTCCCTAAATACCAAAATTGTTATGATTATTTCTGGTTAGTGGGAGTATGGCTGATTTTAACTTTCATCTTATTCTTTGCAATATTTTTCTTACTTTTCCATAATGGACATGCGTTACTTTTATGAAGATAAAAAATAATACATGTTACTAAAATGAGGTTATATATCAAATCTAGACTATAACACGAGGTACTATTTAGGTGTGTTTTAGAAAATGTGAAGGGACTCCTGGGTGGCTGAGTCGGTTAAGTGTCTGCCTCCAGCTCAGGTCATTATCCCAGGGTCCTGGGATCGAGTGCCGCATCGGGCTCCCTGCTCAGTGGGAATCTGCTTCTCCCTCTCTCTCTGCCCCTCCCACTGGCTGATGGTCTCTCACTCGTGCTCTCTTGTGAGAGTCGCTCATGCTCTCTTGCTCTCAAATAAATAAATAAAATCTTTAAGAAATAAAATAAAATATAAAAAAAATGTAATGTTACTTTTACACTGACCCTGAGCATTTGATTGATGGGTATACAAATTAGTACATGATTTATATCCACAGAGACATATTAAATTAGTCTTATCAAAAAACCATCAGACTTGGGAGAAAATATGGCCCCTTCCCACGAGCAAGGTACCTGGCAGGCTGAATCCCAAATAGTAATTGAAATCCAAGCAATTCACTTCTTACCATTGCATGTGACAGACTGACTTTGCCAGATAACCCAACTATTAAAAATGGCCTAAAAACTTGGAAATGAAGGAATTCATTTTCTGAGAGCCAGGCCATTTGAAGACTGGCAAAGTTAAACATGGGCAAGAAAGGAAGATTAGAACCTGCTGCTGCATGTTTTTAGTTTTGCTAATCTGCCGCATTTTGGGAAAGGATATTTATTACTGCAAAAGATGACTGAGAACATTTTTTGAAAGGTTGGGAGTGCTTATGCATTGGGGTAGAGATCAAGCGATTCCACAGTTACCGTGTGACCACTGCTGTTGGGAGGAGGTGGACAGGGCCCTTTAGGCCCAAGTCAGTCCTGGGAAGGGGTCCCTGCAGTGGAGGAGTGCTGGTTCCCTGACCGTGGCCAACTGAGCAGGACTGACCTGAGGTAGGTGATAGTAAACCTTCTGTGGACAGCACAGTCGGGTGAGGGGCCGCCTGCGAGGGCAGAGCTATTGCCGGGACACTTGGTGGGAAAGACGGGGTGGTTGGTACGACTGGAGAACAAGCAATGTTGAGTCAGGTTTGGAGATGGGAAGAGGACTGGATCATGTAAGGGAAGGAAATGTGTCATGATGACACTTCCTTTTGAGCAGTATTTCCAAATCATGGGTCACATTATTCTTTCACTCTATGGCTGGATGTTTTGAAGAGGTCATTTAAGTATTTAGGCTTCTTTCAATATAGATCTGAAAACACAGATTTCCTTTAAGAGGTAGAGAATCAATTCTTTTCTCTCTAAGAGGCAATATACTATACTGGAGCCAGATGGTCTGGGTTTGAATCTTGACTTTGGGCAAAGTGTCCTCAATAGTAAAATGAAGAAAATAATACCAGTCACCTGACAGAGTTATAGTAGTGACTCATGAGATAATCTGTGTAAAATATCTAGGACGGTGCTCAATCAATGCTAACTAGTGTTAATGTGTATATTAGGATGCCATGAGGAAATGGGCACAGGCGGACTCAATGACTGGTGGTGACTCTCCAGCATTCAGCAGGCTGGGATTGCTGTGTGCATGGGCATCTAGCAGGTGACTCCCAGTCGTCCCTCTCCTGGGCTGGGAGGCATTGTCATGAAGTGGAAAAGCGGCAGCTGGTAATAAGATCCTGTTATTTCTCAAGGAAAGGTAGACTGTGTACTCTGTGTTTGTACTGGGAACATGGTCAGTGTATTATCAAATGTAGCTACATGATACATGGATTATTTTTTGTGTTTGTTTTTCTTAAGAGTAGGATAGGCTAGGTGGGATAGAGGGAGGAAATATAATGGTTCAATGAAATCATCCAGTTGTTTCATATTTAGCTATTAGTTTTTGAAGCATGATAAATCATCCTACTTCAGGGTTGCCGAGACAATCAAATTAAATAACAGATGTAGAAATGCTTTTTAAAAATTTAGAATTGCTACATATACACAAGGTATTTGTGTGATTTATTTTTAGCCTCTTAATACTTTTTTTTATTAAAAGATTTTATTTATTTATTTGCAAGAGAGAGTACAAGTAGGCAGAGAGGCAGGCAGAGGGAGAGGGAGAAGCAGGCTCTCCGCTGAGCAGGGAGCCCGATGCGGGCTCGATCCCAGGACCCTGGGATCATGACCTGAGCCGAAGGCAGCCGCTTAACCAACTGAGCCACCCAGGCACCCCGCCTCTTAATACTTTGATAAGCTTACATTTTATAATTTGACCTTGTAATTTGATCAGATTAGGTTATGAATTTACCTTAGAGGTCTAAGAAACAAGAGATAGAAAAGCCACCTTTTAGGAAAATAATCAATAATTCCATACCATCTCTGTGAACCGATCTACACAGGCCATTCGAACCCATTCTGGCGTTGCTGGGCTCCTCACTGTGAAGTCCTCAGCTATGTCTCTTTCCCTGCATGCTGCGGCCACCGCGTCAGTGATGGCAAAGAACACAGATGAGCCCAGGAACATCCCGGACTCCCCCAGGCCCTGGAAGAAAGCACATTTGTTTTAGAATTCTCTATACTAGGTTACAAGCTACTATATTTCAGGACCCAGGTCTTTATTCACCGTTGTATTCCCTAACTCCTAGCACAGTGTCTTGCCCACAATAATTTGTTCAGTAACTTATTGACTGAATGAAGCTTGAGTACTCTTAAAAATCGCAATACCACCTGAACTTCCCATATCTGTAATGCTGTCTAGGTTAAATCTTTGTTCTATAGGAAAGGTGGATGCACACGCACATGTGTGTGTGTGTGTGTGTTGGGGGGGGCATCCTATTATTTATTTATTTAAGATTTTATTTATTTATGCATGAGAGACAGAGATAGAGAGAGAAGGAGGGAGCGGAGGGAGAAGCAGGCTGCCTGCAGATCAGGGAGCCCGATGCTGGACTCGATTCCAGGACCCTGGGATCATGAACTGAAGACACTTAACTGACTGAGCCACCCAGGCACCCTGTGTGGTATCCTACTTAGAGAAGCACATTCAATGGCCAACTTCATGAGCAGAGAGAAAAATGCCTCGTTATGACTCCAGCATCAGGGGAGGTAGGGTACTCTAGAAGAGTACAGATTTGGGTACCAGATGATGAGTTGCAAGCCCATCATCTGCAAGGAACAATCAGGTAATATAAATGAGAGGATGTGGGCAGTTGAAGGACAGCAAAGAAAAGTGGGAATTATGGTGAAGTAGAGATAGCCCCATGTCCTGTCTAAAGGGGCCATTGGTATCTTCTAAAAATGTAGCCAAAATTACCAGATCATCCAATTTTTCAAGAGAATTTAGATATTCTTATTTTAATGTACAATTCCCTGATTTTTAAAGATGTATTTATTTGAGAGAGAGAGGAGGAGGAGGAGAGGGAGAGGGAGAGAGAGAATCTCAAGCAGACTCCCTGTTGAATGCAGAGCCCAATGCAGGGCTCTATCCCAGGACCCTGAGATCATGACCTGAGCTGAAGGCAGACACTTAACCAACTGAGCCACCCAGACACCCCTACAATTCCCTGATTTTTAAAAACACTGTGTGGGTCACAGAAAAACACATCTGCGGCCTAGATTCAGCCAGTGGGCCCCCAATTTGCAACCCTAAGCTAGGGACATGAAGTTTGAAACCTGGCCCTTACTCCCTCTGTTTCTCTGGGTAAGATTATCTCTCTGAGCCTCTGTTCCTTTATCAGTGAAATTCAGGCAATGATATTTACGCTACAGGGTGTTGTAAAGTTTAGCAAGTGCAAAAGCTCCTAGCACAGTGCCTGGTACTCGGTAGGTCCCTGTTATTATTACAGAATATACTCTATGGGGCACCTGTAAACCCATGAGTTTCCTCAGGGTCTGCCTATGAGTGGCTGGTCACAACCATAGGACTCACAGGTCCTGCCTGTCCCGTTGCTCTAGGTGGCCTGAATGCTGCTCTTTGAGTGATTTCCAGCCTAATGAGAACCCAAAGGGGATGCTGATTGTCCTTCCTTTCAAATTTGCACCCCAACCACCTCTCCACCCTCCAGTTCCGTCACCATATGACGAGAGAAAGTTCCTGGGCTGACAGTGGCCTCCAGTTTGGAAATGATAACATTCCAGCAGATATAGATGAACTCATTTTCTCTTATATCAATTCATCACCCCTAGTAAGAAGTCTCCTAAAAGACTTAAAGGAAAATTTTAACAATACATCTTAAAACTAAAGAAAGTTTCTACTCTGAGAGTGATTTTCACATAATCTGCATACAGCAATGACAAGAAATGCTGACCTTTATTTTCATTTGCAGCTCCACTACTTTAGCAATTACTAACGGTTTGTGTCTTTGCTTCCTGACACCACTGACATTTTGGGCCAGATAATTCTTTGCTGGGGGGCTGTCTTGTGCACTGAAGGCTATTTAGCAGCATCCCTGGCCTCTCTACCCAGACTAGGAACATCTCCTCCCTCCACAACCGTAGTTGTGATAACCAGATATAACTCCAGACATTGCCAAATGTACCCTGGGGACCAGTTGAGAACCATTGTTCTGGATCCATTTATGGGTATGGATGAGGACCCTGAGCCCCTAAGAGGTGAGTGATTCATCTATGATCACAGCGAGCTGGTGAGGCTAGGCTAAGAACCCAGGTCCACTGAGGCCCAGTCTAGGATTCTTCCCATGCTGCCACTTCTTCCTAAAATTTTAGTAGTATCATGCCTTTAATCCCATTTAATATTTTAGTCTTAAGGTTCTTAAGTGAAAATATTATTCTATCAAATCAGAACTTTTCACCAAATTTTAGCGTTTCCAGTGAAAGAAGATACTAATAAATAAAGACCTTGGCCAAGGATGGCCATTAGGCAGAGATCACTTATCCTCTCTGAATCTCACTTTTCTCTAGGTGATTCTTCTCCAAATTCTAACAGTCTCTTGTAATTTGGTCCTGATACAGGTTGACATTATTATTATTATTTTTTTGTCTACCTGCTTTCATTTACCATGCTACTTGATGGATCACATTGCACAGCAGTAGGTTTGAGCGCTTACCTTGGATGAATAGATGGTTGGTGGGGTTTGTGATGATGGCAACAGGGAGACATTGAATTCCTCTGGGACATCAGTGATGGTTGGAATTTTGTACTTGTCTGGGCCTCGAGAGTACAGAACACCTTCCGGGGAATATTTCAGCTCTTCAGTGGTATAAAGGCCCATTCCCTGAATAAAGGAAACTTCAACCTGAAAGGGGAAAATGTCAAGCTCTATGAGGCTGTGTGCTCTTTAGAGGTACTTAGTCTCCCGGCAATGACTTTCAGGAAGTGACATCCATCTCCATGGGCCAGCACCTACCTGCCCATATCAATGGCGGGATTTAGGCTGCAACATGTATCCATGACGATGTCTGTTCTGATTTTCTGCCAAAAATGAAAATTACTTCACCATAAAAGCTTAAATTAAAAAGATTATCTTAAGATTTATTTAAAAGAGGGCGCCTGGGTGGCTCAGTCATTAAGCGTCTGCCTTCGGCTCAGGTCATGATCCCAGGGTCCTGGGATCAAGTCCCACATCAGGCTCCCTGCTCAGCGGGAAGCCTGCTTTTCCCTTCCCCCCCCCCCCTGCTTGTGTTCCCTCTCTCGCTGTGTCTCTCTCTGTCAAATAAATAAATTTAAAAAAAAAAAAGATTTATTTAAAAGGTCTCCAGTTATTCCAGAACTCTCACTGGTTAATTAACACTGCACTGAACCTCATCAATATCAGAGGTGGTAAGAAATCTGCCAAACTCTTCAACTTTAGTGCTAGGACTGGCGGTGACCCCAGGAGATCTTACATAATCCTGGTTTGACTTCTCTCTCTCTTTTTTTTTTTTTAAGGTTTTATTTATTTATTTGACAGAGAGAAACACAGCAAGAGAAGGAACATAAGCAGAGGGAGTGGGAGAGGGAGAAGCAGGCTTCCCCCTGAGCAGGGAGCCTGACGTGGGGCTCAATCCCAGGAGATCATGGGCATGACCTGAGCTGGGATCATGACCTGAGCTGAAGGCAGACGCTTAACCGACTGAGCCACCCAGGCACCCCTGGTTTGACTTCTTAAGTGACTCCAAAGTCCATGGTATGTGAGTGCCTTTGAGTGTCACTTAGTGAACAATTGATCCTGGTTGCTCATCTGATTCTAAACCTGGATTTGTTGTTCTGCTACAACTCACGAGCTCATCAAGTCCTCGTGATGATTTGATGGGGGTGGTATTATTGCTGATTTATGGAGGAAATCATGTAGCCATAGTGGCATGTATGAAATTGGAGATTTCAAAGATCTTGGAACATATGAAGGGAAGACGTTGACACTACCTTTGACTACGCTAATCTCTTTCCTTCCCTGAGAAACATCACACTAATTTGGCCCTTATGTTTTGGCACGGGGCTCGTGCAGACGGGTTGTTAAGGAGCCACAGAAAGCCCGTATGTGCCAGTGGTCTATCTTGGGAATATCTCTGGGCTTTCCTTGTGCCCCCATGTCCTGTGCTTGTTCTGACAACATCAGCATTCTCCGTTTAGGCTTACTAGCTGGGCTCCTCCTTTCTATCTAGTCCTTTGGGTTGACAGTTCTCTTTTGACTCAAATGTTGACCTTTCAGACAACCTTCTGTGGGCATTGGGACCAGCCTTCATTTATTCCCAACAGATAGGGCAGGAGGTTGGACACACCTCAGAGTGGGCGTTGGATTTATTTCCACCTTGAAAACTGGTATATTTTGCATGAAGGGTGTTGGACAGTGGGAAGGGAAGGCTGTGCAGTAATGCGACGGGCACACGTTCTGGCTCAGCACCCACAAGTGGCCAGCAGCACCAGGCCTGTCATTTAATTTCTCTGATTTCCCTTTAGTTAAAAGAAGTTTTGCCTCTTCAAGGAATAAACTGTTTCAAGGGCTGAAGTGATACCACAATGACTGAACCTCAGCCAGTTATAAGGAAGGCACAGGGACAACCAGATTTTAACTTTACTGGTACCATAAATTCTGGAATATCCCTGTGAGATTTGTTTCTTCAGGGATTTATACCAAGGCCCTCAGATAGAATTGCCAGATAAAATAAGTATGTCCCCCATGCTGCAGTGAGCATATTTATACCAGAAATTTATTTGTTGTTTATCTGAAATTCCAATTTAACCAGCCATCCTGTATTTTTATTTGCTAGCAACAAATCTGGCAACGCCACCTTCAGGGTGGAGGATCAGAAAAATTAGTTGATTTCTGAAAACAGCTTTCCAGGGGCCCCTGGGTGGCTCAGTCGGTTAAGCGTCTGCCTTCGGCTCAGGTCATGATCCCAGGGTCCTGGGATCGAGCCCCATGTCAGGCTCCCTGCTCCGTGGGGAGTCTGCTTCTCCCTCACCTTCTGCCCCTGCCCCTGCTCATGCTCACTCGCTCGCTCTCCTTCAAATAAACAAAATCTTTTTTAAAAAAAGTTTAAGAACAGCTTTCCACTGAGTGTGGAGCCTTGAATGGGTTACAGGTGTGTCAGGACCCTGACACTTGGACTTCTGAGGGGTCTGGGGCAAGATTCTCAGGCTGGTTACCTGCCAACATGAGGTCCTTGTTTGTAAATGTGCTGTGCAAATATTATCATTATCTATATGTACCATGATGTGAAAAGCATTAGGAAAGACAGTTTTAATATTATCATATGAACAATCTGTTCCTATTTTCATAGGTTTACTTCTTCACAATGATCTAGAGTGAAAATGGGGATATAACGTATCCTAAGGATGAACTCAAGTGGAATGTGAGGGTGACTGCTCTCCAGACATCCCTTCTTTTACTGTATTTTCTATCTTATTTATATAAAATTTAAGTTATGGACAAATTTACTAACATTGGGGCAATAAAAGACATTTTGATAAGATTTCCAAGGCAGTATTTGCAAATTCCTTCCTATTTTACGTAAATTGATCATTTCTAGTTTCAGCTAAGATGGTTCAAGATGATGTTGGAATAATCTGTATATGGAATTTAGATGTGTCATTGGTCCATTCTGTAAATTTCCTAACAATTACTATGCTTTGGATATTCTATATATTTTTTATAACTTATTTTATTTAAATTCAATTAGTTATCATATAGTGTATCATTAGTTTCAAATGTAGAGTTTAGGGATTCATTAGTTGCATATAACACCCAGTGCTCATCACATCACATGCCCTCCCTAATGCCCATCACCCAGTTACCCCATCCCCCCACCTCTCTCCCCTCCAGCAACCCTCAGTTTGTTTCCTATAGTTAAGAGTTTCTTACTGGATATACTATATTCTATTTCAGGTTTCTGTAATTTCTCTATTCTGAGAATGATATCTGAGGTATATTCATGGTTTACCTTTTATGGTAGATGTTAACTTTTTTTTTTGGAAGTTGTTAGCTTTTTTTTTTTTTTAAAGATTTTATTTATTTATTTGTGAGAGAGAGAATGAGAGACAGCACATGAGAGTGGGGAGGGTCAGAGGGAGAAGCAGACTCCCCGCCGAGCAGGGAGCCTGATGCGGGACTCGATCCCGGGACTCCAGGATCATGACCTGAGCCGAAGGCAGTCGCCCAACCAACTGAGCCACCCAGGCGCCCCGGAAGTTGTTAGCTTTTGATTAAATATGACTCCCTGCCTCCAGTAGGATGCTTGATTAAGTAGTAAACATAAAAACTATTTTCACAGGGGCACCTGGGTGGCTCAGTTGGTTAAGCGACTGCCTTCGGCTCAGGTCATGATCCCGGAGTCCCGGGATCGAGTCCCACATCGGGCTCCCGGCTCGGCGGGGAGCCTGCTTCTCCCTCTGACCCTCTCCCCTCTCATGCTGTTTCTCTCTCTCTCTCAAATAAATAAAATATTAAGAAAAAATTATTTTCACACCCTTCCCCCATCTATTTGTTAGGGACAGTAGTACCCTTGGGATAACTAACTTTAGAGAAACATCACATTGTTATGTGCTCTCAGATGTTTACTCAAGACAATTTACTAAATGACCTATTCCTTCAGGATTAGATAACTTGACCTTACTTTAGGAACAGACCCCTTTTTTTCTTGGCAAAAACTTTGGAAAGCAACTTTGTTGTCTGAAATGGAATAAAAAACAATGCATTTTAGGCTGTCATGAACAATTCTTTGTTGACTACTTCTTTAAAATTTTTTAAAAAATCAAATTAAATTAATTTTTAACTGAGATATAATTGACATATAACATTATATTAGTTTTAGGTGTACAACATAACGCTTTGATATTTGTATGTAAGATGCCGATCACAATAGGTCTAGTTAACATAGTTGCCATTACCACACATGGTTAAAAACGTTTTTTTTTCATGAGATGAGGACTTTGAAGATCTACTCCTTGCGCTACAGTTAGGATGACAAAAAGAGAGAGAATCCAATAGACTGTTTTGGCCTGGGCCTCCCAGTGTGTCTGTATCCATGGTTTAGGGGTTGGGCTTTAGCTCTGTGGATTGAGAACCTTAGCCGATTTTATCAGCATTCCCAAAGGGCCCCGCTAGCCTGTGCTAACTGGGGAAGTGAGGGTAATTCAGGGATGGTAAAAAAGGGCACGTAATTCAGTGCATTAATGTACAATGGAAGACGTACCGGGCTAGAGGGCTGATTTGCTCTCTTCTCAGGTAACTGAACTCAGAAATCTAGAGCTCATTAAGTACAGGGCACTGGGCTGGGCTGTGACCTTCCTCCTTCCTTCCTTCCTTCATAAAAAAATTGCTTTAGTGTTTTCTCTCTCTGTGCATGTGTGTGTTTAGTTTGGTGATTTGTTTCACTGGATCGTAAAACTGATGTCATACACTTCCTGAACTCGACAACCAGTTCTCCTCTTTGTGCTTCATTCAGTGAACATGAATTGACTGAGGGCCTCCCACTGACAGAAACTGCACAAATGAGGATTGGGGATTATCCTATGCATCTCTTCCTGCCCAGAGAGGAGCTTCAAAACAGAAAGGTTTTATGGTAAAGGAAGGGAGATTTGTAAAACTGAGTTGGAAATTGTTTCTAATGATGCTATTTTTTTACTACTCAACAATGAATAGTAAATGATGATCAGATGTTCTAAGTCATATTAAAAAAATTTTTTTTTACCCAATAAGGGTATTTTTATTATTTAGTATTTCTCTGGACATAGTTCAAAGGCTTACATAAAATCATAGAATTTTAGGCTTAGAAGGGACCCCATTGATCACATAATAAAAACCTGTTTTACAAATAAGGGACCTAAGGCCCAGAGCAATTGGGTTACCTTATATTTTCTCAGCTAAGCCCAGACATCATTGTAATTTTTACCTGAAGTATCCAGTGGCCGAAAGACTGATTCTTTGTTCAAAAGCAGCTTCTATCTGCAGAATGGGCATATTTACTCAGAAGAAAATAGATACATTATCTGAGAGGTGAAAATGAAAATATTCCCTATATCAAAATTGACATCTGATAATTGTTGCTGGTGCTTTGTTACCAATAATGGAACTCATTTTAATATTTTTTTCCTCAGCTGGTACACTAACAATTTCCTTCTGATTGGGTTGAGATGTCTGAATTAAACAGATAAAATAGATTCCTGCTGTACATCCATGATGTGGGGGCTGAGTTCACAAGGTATTTTTGGGGCTTCGTTTCTCAGTGTTAGAACTCTAGATAAGTGTGTGTGTGTGAGATAACTGTTCTAATGAGATAAGATAAAGGATGCTGTAAAGTTGGATTAGATGAGTCATTTCCTTTGAGACATGTTTAATAGCAGTTAGGCCTTTTGGTTTTCCTCCTCCCCATTTAAAACAACAATTTTTTTTTTCTTATGGCTTAGGAAGACTAAGTCTCTTCCTCTTCTTATCTAAACGGAATGGGTAAGGCCTTCTAGGTGTTCTTCACACGTTTCCATTCCTCCTCTCAGTGATGCTGTTCCCTGGGCACTCTCTCACATACATGTACCTGGTATACAGCATGGAGAAGCTGTCTCAGCCTTTCATAATCCTGCCCTTTCGTAGAAGTCCGTTCTTAGAAAAACTGTCTGTGTGTGGTGGGGTGTATGCTGCTGTGATGCTCTCGGCCCTGCTTTGGAGTGTTTTCTCATTTGTCATCACAAACAGAGTGGAACACTTACCCAGTCTTCCCACGTACCTTCTGGATTTTTCTTAATGATGGGCTCAAGGCATTTCAGAAGGATCTGACAAGCGTTCTTGAAGGGGTAAAGAAATGAAGCCTCATTAGAGAAGAGCCCGGTGGTTGGGATTTGTGTGGAAGAATAGTAATTGATAATTGATTAGGTTGGTGAATGTTTCTGGAGTGCTTGATACTGATACATTGGGAACACAGAGACAATAACAACACAGTCCCTGACCTTGAGAGTATCAGTTACTGCCGGGTTTTTTTTGTTTTGTTTGTTTTTTGTTTTTTAAACCTCCCTGGTTCATTTCCTATGAAAAGACGGGCTCAGCTGAATTTCTACTTTCAGGTCTCCTTTCTATTTGTGCTCTTAATTCCTTCTCTTTTTCTACATTTTTAACTTACACCTTCTTTTGTATTTTCCAGCCATTAAAATCAAAGGAACAAAACATCTTATTTTCATTCTAATTTGTGCTTTCCAGTCTGCAACAATAACATGCCAATATTCCTGTAGGTCTGAAATATTATTCAAGTCTCTGTCCATCCTTCCATCTGTTTATCCATCCACCATCAAACTACTGTAACGAAGGCCTTGGTTTTGGGTGTGAAGTGAGAAGATAACTACATTTGTCTTTATAATAATCTAGATCCGCAAGGTTTCCGATCCTTAACACAGAAACATAAAGCTCTAGAAGATGGGTTAATGCTTAGTTTGCGTTGACAACCCCCATACGCACTGAGCTATTCCTATCTTATGTTTGATCCTGCCCAAAACTGGGTCTCAAGAATTTGAAGTTTCCTACACATTTGTTCTGAGTGAAAAAGCCCCTAACAAGTGTCTCTGAAGATCAGATGGATTTGAAAGTGGTTCCTTTTGGTAGCATAAGTGCAGTGTTCTGAGAACATGCCTCTCCACAACATCCCAATGGAAAAGGTGGACAGGGGCGCCTGGGTGGCTCAGTCGTTAAGCGTCTGCCTTCAGCTCAGGTCGTGATCCCAGAGTCCTGGGATCGAGCCCCACATCGGGCTCCCTGCACCGCGGGCAAGCCTGCTTCTCCCTCTCCCACTCCCCCTGCTTGTGTTCCCTCTCTCGCTATGTCTCTCTCTGTCAAAGAAATAAATAAAATCTTTAAAAAAAAAAAAAAAGGAAAAGGTGGACAGTTTATAACAGAAACATGACATCACTTCAAAAGTACATGCGATCAGGGGCGCCTTGGTGGCTCAGTTATTAAGCGTCTGCCTTTGGCTCAGATCATGGTCCCAGGGTCCTGGGATCGAGCCCCGCATCGGGTTCCCTGCTCAGCAGGAAACCTGCTTCTGCCTCTCTCACTCCCCCTGCTTGTGTTCCCTCTCTGGCTGTCTCTCTCTGTCAAATAAATAAATAAAATCTTAAAAAAAAAAAAAGTACATGCGATCAGATCTCTGAATTAAGGAATATGGGAGTCATAGTCTATTCTGAAAAAGTGAAAATTTAGCAGTTTTTAAAAATATCAGAAAATAAATACAAAGGATAGGTATGAGTGCTGTGGTTGAATTGCACTGATGGAAACACTTTAATTGAACCAGATCCACTGAGCTGGTGTTCTGCCTGCTTACCTGCCTGCAAGAACTTATTTGTGTCAGAGACTTGCCCAGCCCTGCATTACTCGGTACCCAGATTTCTTCTTCGTTTCTCCCCGCGACAGAGACTGTTTATTCACCAAACTCCATTCTCCCCTTGTTCCATAGTAGCTGGGCCTATGGTGTACTCCTCCACATTTCCCCAACCTCCCTTGCACTTAGACATGGCCCGAGACTTGTTCTGCTGGTGGATGATTAGGGGAAGTGACTTGCATCACTTCCAGGTCTGACCTCCATGCTTTTTCCCTGATGATGATGCTCAGGGCAGGCTTGAAAGCCACATGTTGAAGGTGGAGGAATTGCCATTAATCTCAGGGTACTCCAATGACGAAAGCTCCCTCTGCACCGTTACGTGTGCAAGGAAGGGACTTTTGTCGTGTTTGAGGCACTGTATTCTATGTGTCTGTGTGTCACCTCAGTTTAGCCTACTCAAACTAGTCCACTCTCCTGACATTTTGGTTATCCCGAGACTATGTTTACTGCCACAGATGACTTCTCTGAAGCCAACTGCTGTGTCTGTATCCAGCTAAGCAAACCAGCAATATGGAAGAAGTTCGGAAGGGAAAGACAGGGGACAGCACCTGCCTGGCTCTGCCATTGACATCCGAACCAATGGAAGCTGCGGTAGCCATGGTGTTGGGCACCGTGGCCATACTTTTTTCACAGATGTGCATAGAAGACATGGGTATTTTTAATTCACGGCTGGCCACCTATGTGAAAAATAAATATTTTCAAGTCCGGCAAAGTTTTCTAGGAAGAGTTGAGTCATTTTTTTTTTTTAATTAAAAAACACTACCATTTTTATTACATCCATGAAATCCTTGAAAGCCTAAAATAATGTGTCTTAAAAAAATGAAAACCACTTCTTAGTAGAGCCTCACGCTGATTTTTAAAGCGTTTTCTTGGTAGGATTCCAAAATGGTTCTTCCATTCAAACTTAGTGTGTTTAGGATGTGAAGGATTTCCTTTGTTTCTGAGTTTTATTTGGTGGCATTGGCAGGAAGAGAGAGATCGGACTGACTGGTTCAAAGGTTGGTCTTAAATCTGTTGGCATGAGCATCCGATGAATTTCAAATGACCCTGAGGGCCTATCTTCTCTCTTGCCCTCATCCCACCTTATCTTTCGATTCTCCCCCTTGTCTTCTATTTGTTCCCTCCTGTTTATACTCCTCTAGTATTTGCTGTTCACTGTTTTCTTTTCTGTTCTTTTTCTTCCAGTCTCTCTAGCAGACACGTGGAAAGAAAGATATTTAATCACAAAGAATAAAAAAGAGAGAAAGAAAGGGAGGGAAGGAAGGAAGGAAGAGAAAAAGCATTATTTTGGTTTCTTTTGTCTTTTAGTTTTGGCAAGAACACTTTCTCCAGACGTCTACGGTTATGGACTTGTTCCCAAGTGCTAATCTAGAGAGTAATGCTGTTGTAAGATTAAGTTTCCCCAGCAAGAGGCAAAATGAAAAAAAAAAAAAGGACAATTTTATTGGTTCTTGGTGATGAAGAGCCAAAGGGAATGTATTGGGTCCCCTACATGGGAAGGACAAGTGGAGACTGTGTCACATATATATGCATCTAAGTCTTTCTGGTATTATCAGCGACCTCTCGCTGCCTCTCACGTTTGCTTTTCTTCCCACGATGGCTATGTTATTTCCAAGAACAGGCATGCTTCCTCGATGGCACAGGAAAATTGCCTCTGACATCCCCTGACTTAGATAGAGCAGAGGAGCTCAGCAACCACAAGGGCATGCTAGTTCTTCTCCGTCAGCATCTATGCATCAGTCCCAGGAAAGGATCTTGGTCCTGTGCCTTCCCCCTGGACCCATCCCTGCAGCCAGTGGGCTCAGGAGCCATGACCAGCTAGGCCTGACACCTGTGCCTCTATCTGTGGCAGGAGTTGGGGAAAGGAGGGAAATGGGGCTAAAAGGTACCAGAATTGAGGAGTCCTTTAGGACTCTATGGAATGTAGGGGGTGTATTCCAAAGGAGCTAAGGGGCTGGATAGTCCAAAGCTGCGGATGTGTACTATAATAATCTAATAAATTTGTCATAGTGAAATTTATTCAATTTAAAGGATTCTTCTTTTTTTTTCCTCTTGAGATATCTTCCTACTTCATGCATATGTATGTGTGTGTGTTAAAATATACTTTAAAAATTATAGCATGATAACAGTTGATGACTTACTTGTCCTTACTTGTCCAAAATGTATATTAGCAACCTAATGTTGTTGTCCAAACTTTAGAAATCATGCATACTGGTCTCAAAATAGAAAAGCTGAGAAACTCCTACTCTAGGTAAAGTCTGCGTGGGGCACCTACCACAGTGCTCCAGGGGCTCATTAGTGGTGTTTTCACTAACAACCACCTCCACCCATAAAGCCTGGCCATGCTCTAGGACTATTTGTACATACGTGGGATTTCTGCTACTTCAGACATCCTTTTGATACGGAAGAAGTTTTTCAATCAAATAGTCAAGATCTTAGGGTTTGATCATCTCCCCTAAAATTCGTGCCAAATGTCAGGCATGTCAACAATGTATAGAGAGATCAACGACTTAATTTTATGTAGCTTACCTGCAGCATTTTGGTGTGAATACCTTGTCCCAGTTCGTTGCCTCCATGTGTGACCAGTACAGAGCCATCTGTGTAGATATGAACGAGAGCAGCTGCCTAGTAAAACAACCCAGAAGGCACCACTCAGTGCAAGTTTAGTGAGACTGAATACAAACAAATGAGGTAGTGAGACCCCCGTCAGAGGGTCAGAGAAGCAAGGTTTCCTGGTGGGATTCTGACGTTTAGTTCTGTTCTGTGCAGAAGTCACCTGTAAAGAACATTCCTTCACGAACAATGAATCATGGAACACTTCATCTAGAACTAATGATGTAATGTATGGGGATTAACATAAGAATAATAAAAAAAAAAAGAACATTCCTTTTAGGAATCTGGTTTTTTTTATTTATTTATATTTTTTATTTAAAAAATTTTTAAAGATTTTATTTTTTTATTTGAGAGAGAGAGAGCGCATACATGAGCAAGCGTGAGTGGGGGAGGGAAGGGAGAGGGAGAGGGAAAGAATCTCAAGCAGACCCCACACTGAGCACGGAGACCAACATGGGGTTCGATCTCCCAATATGGGGCTCAATCTCACGACTCTGAGATCAGAACATGAGCTGAAACCAAGAGTTGGATGCTTAACTGACTGAGCCACCTAGGTGTCCCAGGAACCTGGTTTTAATAGGCGCCCCTTTGGATACTCAGGAGTTATGAGTATTGGTTCCAACTATTTGAAAGTTACTCCCCTTCTTGAAGTCTCTGGCTGACTGTTCAGCTAACTAATTAAACATTTGTTAAGTACTTGACACATGTTATGTTCCAATCTGCGCTCAGCTCTGGATATACACAGATGAACAAGATGTGGTTCTTCCTCAACATTTAGTAGCTCCCACTGTAATGGGGGGACAGGGTAGAGAGCAAGTCATAATGCAGAATGATTTGTGAGGCAATGGGCATGATATAAGGGGCCCTAGGGACCTGGGAGGACAGATCGAACTGCTTTTGAGAAGCTTGGGGAGGGGTTCCCCAAAGAGACAACTGAATGGAATCATAAAAGGGAAGAAGGGCTCACCACTGGGCAAGGTGGGCCCAAATCCCCCATTGTCTGTATGGGAAAGCCTAGCTCTTTTTTACAATATGAGGTCTTTTAGGATTTGGTCTGGTGTACTTTTCCAGTTCCATCGCTGTCTTTTCCTGCTTTGCCTTACTGCTGCTCCTTCCTGACCTGTGCTCACGTTTATGCTGTTCTCCCTTCCTGGCCTGCTCCCCAGCCGTCAGACCCACACCTATGATCTCCGTTCTGTGAAAGCTTCCCAAACACTTCTCATTCCCATCTGGGAAGGATCAGTTACCTGCTTCTCTGCACTTCCTCTTACAGGGGTGAACTGGGCTGATTAGTGTCCCCTGCAAATTCCTGTCCACCTGGAACCTCAGAATGCAACCTTCTTTGGAAATAGAGTTTTTGTAGATAAAATTGTTAAGAGGAGGTCATAGTGGATTAGGGTGGGCTCTAAATTCAGTGACTGGTGTTCTTATATGAGACTGTGTGAAGACACACAACAAAGAAGGCCACATGAAGATGGAGGCAGAGATTGGAGTGACATGGCCACAAGCCAAGGAATACTAGGAGACACCAGAAGCTGGAAGAGACAAGGAAGTGTTCTCCTCTGGGGGCTTCTGAGGAGCATTACCCTGCTGACACCTTGATTTTGAACTCCAAGCCTCCAGAACTGGGAGAGCATAAATTTGTTGTAAGCCACCCAGTTTGTGGTACTTTCTTATGGCAGCCACAGGAAATGAATACAGGGGGTGACCAGCTCTTCTGTGAGAGTCTCAGGGAGGAAGGGCACTTGGTCTCGTTCAGTTTTGTGTCCTGTAGAGAACTTAGAGCAAGTCTGAATCACAGAAACACTAAATAAATGTTGAATTGGACAAATGGAAATGTGTTATTTTTCATTCCAGGAGGAGGAGGGAAAAAGGGGGAGGAATTAGGATTTCAGTCTATTCTGTCTCAGAATGGCTTAGAGGAGCTTTGGGGCACCCAGGCTTATAGATGTTAATAATAGTATTTATCATCGTGGGCCTTTTGACTCCCTCTGACAGTGCTCCCCATGCCTAGTTTGGAGAGTAGGTGTTCCAGCTTTGTGAGTCATCAGCTGCCCTGAAATAACACATTTCAACTCTTAGCCTGGTGATTCTTGGATGCATCAATTTGGAACTCTGTGAAGAAGCTGGAGGCCTTTCAAATAGAGCTTTAAAGTCGTTGCTTGATTTAAGGATGTGTGTGTGTGTGTGTGTGTGTGTGTGTGTGTGTGGCGAGGTAAGGAAGTTGGCTCACATGGATGATGGCAGAGAGTAGACTGTGGTTTATGTGAGGGGCAGCCATCCAGGTGAGGGGAAGTGTTGTATAATAAAAAAATAAATATATGTTCTTTGTCCCTGATTTTTGGCACAGAGGTCCAAAAATCCTGGGAATTTACTGTCTTTTGTCTGCTATTCAGATCATTCTTGGGAGAAGCCTAGACAGCTTCTAGGAGGTGGGAATTGTTGCCAGAAAAACCAAACACAAGGTTAGAGGGTTCCAGCTTTCAGCCCCACCCTCTGAACTTCAGGGAGGGGAGAGGGACTAGAGATTGAGTTCAGTCACCAATGGCCAATGATTTAATCAACTGTGACTATGTAATGAAACTTTCATAAAACCCACGAACAACTGGGTTCTGGGAGCTTCTGGGTTGGTGACCACAGCCACAAGCTGGAGGGGAAGGGCATGAAAGCCCCATTTGCCTCTCACAGAACTTGCCCCATGCATGTCTACCATGTGGCTATTCTTGGGTGGTATCCTTTATAACAAATGGTCATAATAGCAAGTAGAGTGCTTTCCTGAGTTCTGCGAGTTGCTCTAGCAAATATCAAACCTAAGTGAGGTGGGTAGTGGAAACCCCTGAATTTGTAGTTGCTTGGACAGAAGTGTGAATAGCTTGGGCACCCTACTTTTGCTGGTATCGGAAATGGAGGCAGTCTTGTGGGACTTAGCCCTTGATCTGTGCGGTCTGTGCTAACTCTGGGTAGTTAGCGTCAGAATTGAATTGAACTCTGTTGCACACTCAGTTGGTGTTGGAGGATTGGTGCAGAAAAAAACACAACATTTGGTGTCAGAGAAAAAAACCCACACAGGCAGATATCTAGAATAACTTATGCTCCAGCTGTTGAATTAGTCCAGGCCCGTAGGTGTAACGGTCAACCTGCCTGCACCTCTGTGCAGAACAGGCATGCTGGACCTGAACAGGAGTGTGACTCAGGAGACCGGGGAGTCTCATCCTACCTGCTGGAGGAGCCACAGCCCTGCGAGGTGCATCTGAGATCTCCTGGGGAAGGGGTGTGGGCTGCCTTGGATAACTACACAGTGCTCCGGTAACCCTGCCAAGTGCTTTACATTTATTAGCTTGTTGAGTCCTCATCAATCCTAAGAGAAAGGATTATTATTCTCATTTTATAATTGAGGAAGCTGAGACTCAGAGAGGTTAAATAACTTGCTCAATATTACACAGCTAGTAAGTGGCAGGGCCAAGGATTTCTTAGGTCCACCTGACTCCAGTTGCTTAGGGTTTGGGGGCAACTGCTTTACTCCCTAAGAAGGATTTCCTTGGACAGGGCAGCTTCTGTGGTGTGAGCACGCGCATGTGTCTATTGGCTGCTGGTAGTTGGGTGTAAGTGGGAAAATGCTTTCAATGGTATACGCACAGGGAGATCTAATGTATTTTTAGATTTAGATTTAGATCTAATGCACATAAGATTTTTCCAGTTGTGGAGTCTCTGCTTCTGGTGGACAATAATGGGGAGGCAATACCACTTCCCTGTTTTGTAAACAGCTTTCCCATATGGGACCCATTGGGATTGCTGGGAACACTTGTCTGTACCAGTCCTGTGTTATTTAATGGACTCATCTATTTGCACCTTTCCTCCTCCCTTCTGGATGTGGCCTCTGAGTGACTTGCCTCTTCCTTTTGCAATCTACCTGGAAGGATTTTTGGACCATGCACCCCTGTTTCCCCACTAGAATTGACACAGATTCCTGGGAGAGGTGGCTGGAAACAGCCAGCTTGTCAGGACAACATGCAGTGACCTCTCTGCCTAGACTTTGGGGCACTGAGGAGAGCTGAGGGGTCTGGGGCACAGACCGGGAGAGGCCCCACTCCCTGCCCAAGCCGTAACGCCTGGGCTCAGAGAGCTCAGCACCCCAGGCCTTGTGGGCTCTCATTCCCTTTGGCACAGGGATGATTTGGGGTGGGGTGGGGTGGGGGTTGTGGTCACTGCTGCGTCCTGGCAGCCATGCTGGTAGCAGGCTTGCTGATGCCATTTTCTGACACCGAGACATTTTTTCTACTGCACTGTGTTGAACGAGCTTGTAGGTGGGAATGCTGCTCAGGAGAGTTCTTACATTTCTCCCAGGTGCTGGGGGAGGGAGGGGCTTGGTGCCTGGGAAATGTGACCCTCTCCCAAAGTCAACGTGAGCTGACAGGGCAAGAAGTGCATCTGATGTGAGGGTTATTCACCACGTAGAAAAGCCTTACCTGATGATAGCTTGTTGCAGCAAAACCAACTGAAAACTTCATGGGGATGATTGCCATGCCTTTCTTCTTCCAGTAATTCTTCTTGTTAAACTCTTCCACTTGCATTCTCCTGTTGTGAAAGGAAGACTTGTCCAGACACTCATTCCAACATCTGATCAGGGTCTCAGGGCTGAACGCTTGTTTGTAGATGGTTTTATCAACTATTTTGTACATGTTTTTCTCCCTAATCTGAAATGGGTGAGAAGTTGAGTTGATAGTTTATGGTAAGACAGAAACTGACTGCAAAAGAGAGACTTGAAAAGCTTCCCCATTAAAACACAAACTTTGGTGGGGAGAAGACAGGGTGCTGCTTCTTTCTTTGAACAGCATGTGCTTTTGTAAAAATAATGGGAGTTAGGGGCGCCTGGGTGGCCCAGTCGGTTAAGCATCTGCCTTCAGCTCAGGTCATGATCCCAGAGTCCTGGGATTGAGTCCCATGGCAGCTCCCTGCTCAACGGTGAGCCTGCTTCTCCCTCTGCCTCTGTCCCTCCCCTGCCCTCCCCGATTGTGCTCTCTCTCTCTCAAATAAATAGATAAAATCTTTAAAAAAAAAAATAACGGGAGTTATTTCTCATCTCTTCTTCAATGTACCAATCAGGGTTTCTCCCTCCTCAAGTGGAGGGTAGCGGTAGTAACTGGTCCCTGGAGGGCAGCAGGATGGAGAGGCTGAGGGAAGCAGATACTCCTTCTTTCCCACAAGGTTCAGAGGATGAGGAAGAGCTGGTAGATTGTATATAAAAGCAAGGGTTTATTATCATAACTGAAGATTTGTTCTGATACAGAGGAATAGCATTGCAGCTAGTAACAAATAGCAGATCTACTCTAAGCCTTCTGATTGCCTCTGGAATGTGTGGTCAAATCTTTTTAAAAATGTATTTGAATATGGGGTGTTGTATGTCCTGGAAGCATGCAAGATTTGATAAAGGAGAGCCCACTGAGATGTGCTCAGGAAGTCTTCATTCTCCCCATTTCGCTCTAGTAACATTAAATAATTATCATTATCAGCAGTAACATTGGAATAATACCATCCAGTTTATGGAAACAAATGTTTTAACAAGTGCTAGCTCATTTGATTCTTGCAGGAACCCTGTGTGGTGAGTCATATCATCCTTGTTTCATGGATAAGGAAACTGAACCACAAAGAGGTTGCCTCTCCTTGCTGGAGCCGCTCCATTTGCCTGGATTACCTTCCTATTATCTGTGCCTATTATTCTTCAAGGCCTATCTTAAGTGTCATCTTCTCCAGAAAGTTCTTGCTGACTCTCCTCCCCGCAAGCCAAAGTGATGTCTTTCTCCCTTGTACTCATAGAACACTTTATGTGACTTCTCTAGGATAACTATGTTCTTCCTGGTACCATATGTAGGTGTTCTCCTGTGTGTAGGAAGTACTCTGACAATCACAAACCTGCTGGTCCTCTCTGTTGAACTTGGGGGCCAAGGGGTTCAAAGGGCAATATATACTGGGGAAACAGGGAAGAGAAGTGTAAAAAGTAGGCTAGGGCCTAATTGAAATGTGTGAAGGCTAGAAAGCTGTTATTAATAATTATCTCAGTTGCCAGTGGCCTGCCTCTCTCTGGCCTAGCATCCTGTCTATACTGTGCACCTTCCAGGATACTGTACAAAATAATATTTTTGGAGGGCATCTTTTGGCAGTATATCTCTCAAAAATTTCCAAGTATACTGGCAATTCCACTTCTATAAATTTATCCTTCAGATATATACAATAGGGCAAAAATACATCTATATTTTGGTCTATCTGTACCAAGATGTTTCTTGCAACATCATTTTAATAGCCCAAAATGGGTAACAACATAAATGTGTATCATAGTGGGGTGGCTAAATAAATTATGGTAAGTCCCTATTACATAATGCTATTCAGTTATGAAAAAGAATGAAGTGGATCATTCTATTGACACAGGAAGATAACCGTGGCCTACTCAAGCAGAAAAAGTATGATATGCTTATCATGGTCCCATTTTGGTAACTAATTCTCTATGTACACACACACACACACACACACACACATAATACATCAATGTTTACATATGTGTGTATGAATCTAGAGGCCTGGAACAATAAACATAGAATTCTTAACAATGGTTACCCTTGATCAATAGGGATGATGGGATGAAAAAGGGGACGTTCACTTTTTATTTTAATTCCCTCAGTGTGGTTAGAATTTTAAAAGGAGCAATTATTTTTGTACAAATTAGAAAAAAGAAAGAAAGAAACAGAAAGTTGTTTGCATAAGGATGTAGGAAGATAGTGGAAAGTCATTTCTTTCAGGTAGCACTTAATTTACCTCAAATTCTGAGCTGGGGCTAATTTGAGTGGTTCTTCTAGGGTCTTTCCTTGGGTAGCTAGTTTCCTACCTCATCTGATTCTTCACCAACCTTGGTTACGATCTTGATTACAACCTTACCTTTTCTGACAGAAGGCCACATTTGGCTGCCACAGCTGTGATGCAAGATTCTGTTATCAGGGTTCCTTGTGGGAAGCCAAATCCACGAAAGGCTGTATTAGATGGTAGATTTGTCATGCATGCACGGCCCCGGAACCTGAGGTGGCGGATTTTATATGCATTTTCTAGCTTTAATATGAGAAATTCTGTTACCTAAAGTGAAAGCAGATATTAATATATATTGGACAATACTTTGTTTTTTTTTCTGTAAAAGTCAAGTTCAGAGTCTAACTGCTTGTGGAACTTGGGTAAGTACTTGAAGAAAAATGCTCTGTAAAGACTCATCTAGAGGGGCGCCTGGGTGGCTCAGTTGGTTAAGCGACTGCCTTCGGCTCAGGTCATGATCCTGGAGTCCCTGGATCGAGTCCCGCATCGGGCTC